GGTGGTAAATTACGGTAAGGAAAAAAACTGCCGGCGTAATGTTCCGGATACTACTACTGTGACGGTACGGAGTGGGGGTTTCCAAGCCAGCGACAAAATTGAAGCCCAAGAGATTCGCGAAGGGTTCACAAGAGGCAAAGGACCACATGTCTAAGCTACGAGCTATGAAGAAGACTGGGGGAAGCTTTAGAATGTGATTTCAGCATAGAAAAAAAAACTATAATCTGTCTATTTTTTTGGTCGAAGCAAGAGCATGATCGAAACAGATGTATCACGGAACTTTACTTTCTGGTCGTTCTGGTTATAGATACTGATTGTGATTGTAGAGCGCGATCCATTATGGCAGTTCATCCATGCATATTGAGATGGTTTGTAATTAATGAGCTGTCCAATGCCAGCATCACCTCTGTCAAAGGCACTCAGAATATCACCAGATGCGACGTACTCATTCTTAATTAAATCACAACGAACAATGTAAGAGCTGGTGGGGTGAATCTGAGGTATAATATTTGTTAGTTGAGCACTCGCAACTGTCGCTGATGCAGCAGGGTAGGTAGCTACAGTCAGACCAAGTACTGACCCAAATGCAGCATTATTGATTATCAGGCGAGGAACGCGAGTCGTTGTAGGTAATCCAGTACCCCAGATGAGTATAGGCCAGTTGTCGGTCTCGTGTATCCAACTGGAAGAATCGAAGGAGTTGGTGAGAAATCAATCTGAGCTGCATAATAAACACTGTTCTCTGTTAATTTGATATAGAAGACATTGTTCCCAGATGCATCGATAAGATACGCTCCTGCATTGACTAGAGATGTTTGAATGCTTCTGTTGATATCATCATAGCTGTAGTATCCATCTTGAAGGTTTATGCTGAGCGTAGATGTGGTTGCAGCCGTCGGAACCTCAACCTGAAAAGATGTATTCTGGAATTGGATAGCATCGATGTTATATTCAGAGTTGAAAAGACTGATTGACTGAATCGCACAGACGACATCTCGAAAATCGGCTGCCGAACCAGGGAATTGATATTTCCACGAGGAATTGTATCCATCTGCAACGAGGTTTGTGCTATCGATCTTCAAGAAACTTGCCATGATAGCTATTAGAACGAAGGATCGCAGATCTGAGAACAAGTGTAGGAATCGAAGATTCCACTGAAAACCTATGGTTATTCGTCTCTAAGCTCTGCTCTATATATGATCATCAATAAAATTTTATTCATAATTTTGAGTCCTAATTGGGTTATCAAAGTTGTATCTGATTTCCCCCTTGACAGAGTCGATAAGCAACATTTGGCCTTTCCTTTCTGTGGCTTTGTTGTAGTAATATACAATCGATTGATCGTCCACTCCTTTGATATTGAAATCCTTGACGACCATCTTTAAATCACGACGGCTGTTAGCCTTTAGAATTGCTACATACTCAGAGTTCAATCGGATCATCTTATCCGTTGCAAAGTAGCTGTGAGATAAGAAAATGGTGCTCAATTTGAAATGACGTCCTCTGGTCATATAGTGAGAGAAAATGTTTTTCTGGAGTAGCT